AAAATCATCCTCTCGAACACTTCGGAACGAGCAGCAAGAATTGCACTGTTACCATAAAGGACAGAATTATCCTTGCAACTAATTTCTATATCACTATATCGAGGATTATTGATAAGAAGCTTTAAGTCGTCAATGAGAGAGTTTCCGCGCACCATTATCGTTTTAGGAATGATAATCAATAAAGCAACTGCCTGTGTACATGAATTTATACCGAATGCACGAAATTGTAGCCTATCAAAATGCACAAACTTGTATACGAAACTTCGCATCTATGGTGCAAAAAAATCTTTTTATTTATAAACGTATATTTTATTATTTACAAAACATTAGATGATTTTTAATTTATAAATTCATCTACTGTATTTAAATTTTTATAAAAATAAAAATATACAAAATAATATATAATAATATTATTCAAACATTATTTTAAATATAATATGGTTAACAAGAACACTATATGTAAAATAAATAAATTTAGTTTAAAATATATTTACTAAAAATTTGTGTTTTTAAAATTACATTTAAAATAATAGTATTATTGCTTACAATAAGTAATAAAAATTCTTGAAAATTTTTATTAATTACTACTCAAAATTATAATTTAGATATAAAAAAAAAATCATAATGTAATTAAAAATTTAAAGATTTTATTAATATAAAATAAATAATTACGTTTTTTATCTTTTATTTAGATTGTCATCTTATATTTTTTGTAAACTAAATTTATAAAATTATAAGTAAACATTATTTGAAATTTTATTTCATTTTTTCTTTTATTATAAATTAATTTAATTAAAAATATTTTTAAATAATTTTATTTTGTATTTTTTAAATTTATATTTAAACTATTAAAAATATATATATATAACTTTAAAAAATATATATTAACAATTGATTTAATATTTTGCTTATATAATTTAAATTATTAATATTCTAAAAATTAAAATATTTTCAAGTAATTAAACTAATTTTTTTAATATTAAAGTAAAATATTTCTGTTATCTTTATTAATATAATAAAATTTAACTTGTTACAAAATTATTATTTAGATTTGAATTATACTGTTATAAATAATAGCCTATAATTTATTGAACAAATATATTATTTGAAAAACTTTTAAATAATAAAAATCTAAGAAACTATCTATTGCAAATAATAAAAAATAATAAATTTTAAATTTAACTTGTTACAAAATTATTATTTAGATTTGAATTATACTGTTATAAATAATAGCCTATAATTTATTGAACAAATATATTATTTGAAAAACTTTTAAATAATAAAAATCTAAGAAACTATCTATTGCAAATAATAAAAAATAATAAATTTTAAATTTAACTTGTTACAAAATTATTATTTAGATTTGAATTATACTGTTATAAATAATAGCCTATAATTTATTGAACA